AAAGCCCCCAAAATATTTTTTAAACACCTTTGGCGGGGAAAAAAAAAAAAAAAAAACTTTTGAAATATTTCCTGACACTTATGTGTTTGCTTACAGTTTTCCAGTAAAAATTCTGACTGACACCAGGTTATTTGTCGACCTTGCTAGTATTCAGCTAGTGTCAAGTGCACTGTGCGGTGTAGATTAGCTCATTTTTCCCACCTAAAAGTCATTATTTTTATAACTCCACAGTTCAAGCTTCTGTTTGTTTTTAAGGATCAGCATATAGAGTTCTAAGGATGCTCTAATACAGTCTAGAAGATGCATTATTATTACCACATTAATTATTGCCACATTTTTTGCAGTTTCTTTTCACATGTGATTTACTAAATAGTAGAATCTGAGGGTTTTTTTTTTTTTTTTTTTACTAAGCTAAAATCCAAAAAAAAAAAAAAGGAATGCATATTCCTAGTACATCCAGCCTTAGGTCTGTAGAATTTTCCAAACTCCATAGGTAACTCTCCAAGTTACCACCACCAGTGATGTATAAGGTTTTATGGAAGTTCATTTTGGTGCTGTGCTGAGATAAAGGCTTTGTTTTTACAGTTTCTTTACATATTCCTAAGGAATTACTGATATATCTTGCTTTTGAAAGGCCATAACCTGGGCACCTGGGGGTATGAATCAGTGTTATTTGTAGAGGAGTAATTCTGGTTTCTAAAACATATGTAATAGCATGTTTCTGTATCTTTGCAGTGCTCCTGTTTTCTTAAAAGTAAATATCTAAGAGAAAAACCAAATACAAAAATTCTCTTCTGTCGTGGAAAGCAAGTGTGAAAGCAAATGTGGAAAAACATAGCACTATTATTTTTATAAAATTACACTAACATTCACGCAATACATTTTTCCGACAGCAAAAAATTTTTGCTTATGATTTAAATGTTTAGGCGGCTGTTGTATGTTTTTTACCAGTTCCAGTCATAAGGATATTAGATTAATATGTATCTATGTTTCTGATTTAGGAACTTGACCAATACAAGAGGAATGCCTCTAAAACCTGGAAAGAAATGGATTTTGGTCTGGACTGATGAGCTGCTGTAGCTACCTTCAGTTTAACATGTACAAAATTGGTTTTTTAAGCATTATGTGACCAGTTTAATTTGATGCAGTCAAAAAGCTACAACATCAAACTACAAAAATAACAAGATATTTATTAAGCATTCCTGTTATTTTTATTGATATTATTTTTTTTATTAAAGTAGGTCTGTTTATTAGTCAGTCCAAATTAAAGTATGTCTTAGTATTGAGATACAGCTTAAAAAAAGAAAAAAAAAAAGGTGGGGTGAGGTGTGGGGAGGAGGAGGATTTCAGATTTCTCAGAGATGGGTTTGACTATGAAGACTGGCAATAAAAATTCCCACCTGTAGTTATTTGGTTTTGAATGATTCTACTTTAAATATGCATTTAAATGCAAACAAGTTTTCACAGCCAAAGAATGAAACTGCATGCTTAAGCCTGCTGGCCATCTTTTCCAAGTTTCTTGTGTATGTAATTCAAAGGCAAAATTTAAGATTATATTTGGACCATAGTTTGGTAAAAATTTTTATGATACTTTCACAAATAAAATAAATTAAAACCAAATTTGTCTGGCTCTTCTAAACTTCAGGAGGTTTGGGTTTTTGTTTTTTTTTTTTTTTTTCCAGTATCATACAGTTTAATGTGGCAATTATGTATTTCTTCTACTGTATAAAGTGTCAATAGTTCTGCAAAAAATTGGAAAGAATAGATTTCTGTCAAATATTCAAATGCTAGAGAATTCATTCAAATCAATGTGACAAGTTTTTGGTTAGTGGTGGAACTGATTTGCCTTCAGCCTAAACCGTGAAGTGTAGCTTTTTGGCCTTGCACATGTTTCCTACGATCAGCTGCACTGAGCCCTTTGGGAATGAGGAAGATCTGGATTACAGCAAGGGGTGTCTCCTGAGAGGTAAGATGTGGCATGGGAGTTTACACAGTCACTTGGCAGACCAGAGGGCAAGAATGATCAGCATGAAAATAGGAAAGAAAAATAACTGGTTTTAAAGTTAGTTATTAATTTTAACATATTTGTTTAATTTTTTTCCAGAGATGTAGTATCTGTGTCTTGGAATAACATATAAAGCTATATAAAATCTTGAATAAATCAGAATAAAATTTTGGCCTCTTAGTTAAGTAAAAAACTTGACTCTCCTACAGTGAGGATTTCATACTCTTTTTTTTAAAAGAAAATATCATTTCTAAACTATCAAATTTAAATAATTATATTATTATGGCTTTTTAAGATGCAAATGTACTTAATTCTGTGCAGTAATCTGGAGCTACCTTTAATAAATAACTTGCTCACTGAACATGAAAATTAAGATAAAAGCTGTGAATTCAGTACCTGCTATACTTCAGTTTTGAAAGTCACAGTTATAAATTTGGAAGGATAAATTGGACTGTCTTTCATGGGACTGAGAATAATTTACAAAGATGCAAGTGATATCACTTCCAAGTAATAGCAAACAACCTTTACATATATTTTCTCTAGTTGACTTTTTATTAATAAAACAAATTTACTAATTCACAGACTGATTCTAAAGCAAGATTTAGAATGTGATAATAAAAAGATAAAACAGGGATAAATATCTACCTTCTTTCACTTATTTATAAGACAACAGTGTGTTGGGTACTTTTATCTTGCTCATTGCTGCTATGTTTGCATAGAATGCATAAGATGAATGTGGAGTGCTTTCTCAGTTCTGTCTTTTTACATGTGTTCAGTTTATTCCCTTTTTACAGATCCCCCAAAAAGTATCAAAGCAGAGCGTAATACTTAAAACACATTCATATTGTTCTGCTTACGGTTTTCATTATAAAAAAAAACACTGGGGAAAAACTTAGAACACCACTGTTGATTCGATTGTTAAAATTAGCACCATCAGTAGATTAACTTACATTCAAAAAGTCAGTTAGACCATGTAATGCTTCTGCTATGCCTGACGGGGTGGGGAACCCCAATAGCAGAAAGCTATTAGGAGAGCACGGGCTTAAGAGAAGTGTTTTTCAAGATAGAAAGCATACATTCAACTGGAAACAAACACTGATAAAGGATAAAAATGTTTCTGTGTTTTATGTAGAATCACAGTCTGTCCAAAGTCCATCTAAAATCTAACAAATTAGTCGTTCAGCTACAGCAAAACTAAAAAATGTAGTAGTATATGTTTGTTAAGCCTAGAACTGCTTTTTTATTGTCTGCTAATAATTATATCTCTTATTTTAAAGCTCACAATTGCTATAATGACAAGTACTGGTAGAAAGCCATAGAGTGCCAAGAAGTGTGTCGTGAAGCGGGATGTTGCACCAGGAAAGTTGCTATCAATGAACTGAGCACCACGAGAGAAAAAACATACGGAACTAATTGCAGTGGAGGTGTTGGGTCCACCTGCCAAAACAAAAATAAAATAAAGTTAATTCCCTTAGGTAAATTCCTTTTAGCAAAATTAAAACTCAGGCTCCAGTATCTAGCTCATATTTTTAATATATCTAGCCTAAACATTTGCTTGAATGATGAACCAGGCCTATAGGTCACATTTTTTTCACACTTTTGAAATAGGAGCTGATATTCTACATCTTTTTTGTAGTTAATCTTTGCCATATTTTTAAAGAGCAGAATGAAGGGTCTTTAGGAGCTTTCCGTTTCATTTGGGCCTTATCAGACTGTATAGAGAGGGTCTCAAGAAGCACTTTGCTGGGTATTATAGCCTTATGTCATTCATACCAACTTTCAGAATTTAAAAAAGAAGGTTGTCTGTTAGGCACATTAAAAAACAATTGTGTGTAAATATTACCAAAATCATGTATCCACTTTCTAGCAGTTATTCTTACAGTCATATTTTCAGTTACTAGTTGTGGTTTTGTAATAAGGAAGGGCAAGAGATTGATGAAAAATAGTGGATAAAGACTATAAGACCTTGGGGAGGATCAAAGCCTTGGGGCAGGTCCAAAGCTCTAAGTTTTAGCTCCAGTGATGGCTGCTGGTTGCTAACCCTTCCACCCTGGCCCTGGCGTTTTCCCTGTCACCTTGTTTATAACCAGCAAAGTGGCAGATCCAAGCTATTCAACAGTAAGAAAACTGGACAGGAACCGTATAGAAATTTGAAAGAATGTCAGTGACGCTGACATTTCAAATTTAGCTCCTTAACCTGTCCCTTGTGCCCGTAAGAGCTTCAGATCAATAAGCTGCCCTTACTCCCTTTTCCATGGCATTATATCTGAATGTTTGCCTCGCTGGTAACAGAAGGTGCATCTAGGTGACTTTTTTTTTGGTCAGTTCTTACTGCACTGATGTTTTCTGTTCTATTTGAGGCAGTGTAATGCAGTTCTCATGAATATGTGTCAAGCTGCAAAACTCACCTTCTAAAATGCTTATAGTAGGAAAACGGTGAGGAAAAGACAAATGGAAAACTGAAAGATGAGGAAGAGAGAAAGGAGAAAGAGTTGAACTTTTATCTGTTTTGCTGGTATGGAGTTACAGTATGTCTTTATAACTTGGTAAGTTTCTTTAATAACAGGTAAGTCATCTTTAACTTATAATGGATGCTTTAATTGCATGCAGAAGGAAAGCACACTTTAGCATCTTAATAAAGTTACTTAAAGGGCATTATTTTTTTTAAGCACTTACCACATGTGAAGTTTAAGCCAAAAAATTCATTGACGACAAGAACCTCACTGCTATATTTTTGGAAAGTAAGATAACTTAGCAGTTTGAAAGGTGTTGGCATATCTTCTATGGTCCTTAAATAGAGAAGAAATTAAATTGGCACTTGTTACATTACAAGACACAATTCTACTCCAAATTAAAATACCATGACATCTTTGGTCATAGCCTGTTACAGAAAGTCTTAAGTGTACAGGTAGGGTTTTCAAAAGGCATTCTAGCAGTAAATAAGGTGTCCCAATATTCAGTCCTGAATTGCTTAGGACAGTCACCAATAATTCTATGCAGTCACATTGAAGTAACAAACTAAAAAAAAAAAAAGAGGGGGTCAAGAAAACCAAATATAAACATTACTAGTAAAATATTGTTTGCAAAGTAAGAAACCACAGCCCCTCACCTCATGTTCAATATCAAAAAAGACAGAATATTAACTCATTAGAACAATAATAATGATATGAATAAGGCAAAGAATTAAGAATAAAACTAGAATATGAAAAGTTTTATGATAATTTTATTTAGCTAAACAGCTGGACAACTTCTGCACCTTAAATTGCAAACAAATTGTTTAATGTTATGTTTAATCAATTAAACATATAAACGCAGCAGAAATGCCCACTAAGCCACGTCTCAGTGCCATTTTTAATATCCTTGCCTGTGAAGATTGATCACTGAAGACCTTCACAGTGTTAGTTAGCAATTTCTGTACTGTAAAATAAGGTGAAAAAAACACTAATACTTTTTAAGGCATTAGGGCATTATACTATGGTAGAAAGAGTAACTGTTTTTCCCAGTTTAAGCATACATTGTCATGAAATTTAACTGGGGCCAAATTAACTGGATATCAAGCTAGTTGCATTTTGATAAGCAAGGAGGGGCTGAAGTCTGCTGCTTCATCAGCTTTGTGAAGACCTGTGGTTTTCTTGAAGACAACTTGATAGCAACTAGTGTTAGGCTTAATTCATTTGTATGGGAAAAGGCTCAGCAGAGGATATCATGTTTGCTGGAAATGTGAAGAAAGCTAATGAGGTTTTCTGACAATAATACATTTATTCTGGCACATATCTCAAAGAGCAGAGTAGTTCCAGTACTGGAAAATGTTAGGGGAATAGTGTTAAAAGTTCATGCATATTAGTGATTTACAATGAAAAAAAAAATTGCACATTAATACAGCAAAGGAAACATAATTTGGGGGGCACTTACTTAACTAGTTCGTGATTTATTATTACTACATAATTCAGTCTGCACAGATAGAAAAAGTGCCTGAAAAGTTCAATGAATAAACGGGAGAGTAACAGTTGAAAATAACCTTTTTGCAGTCAAAAATTCACAGCTTTTAATATCTACTAAGTTCCAGGAATTACTCTTTTTTTTTAT